TGTATGAAAAGCGCTTTATAAATAAAATTTGATTGATTGATTGATTGAATATCGTCAAGGTAGAGAAGGAATAACTGGCACTGCTGGTCACAAAAGATGCGCTGCCTGAGCCTTTGGAAGGTGCTGGGAGCGTTACAGTGCCCGAAAGGCAGGCGATTCCGCTCGAAAAGACCAAACGGGGTACAGAACGCCGTTTTATGTCGGTCACCTTCGGCGACAGGGACCTGGTTGTACCCGCTTGCCAAGTCCAGCGTTGTGAACCAGCGAGCCCCTGTCAGAGCGTACAGTGACCCTTCAATTCGTGGCAGTGGAAAAGCGTCCTTGTCCCCAAACAAGTCCTTTCGGGTCTTTACGTTCAGCTGTTGATAGTGGGTGAGGCATATGGGCTCGAGGACTCCCTTATAATGTGCTTCCAAGAGCTTATTAATGTGCTCTTTGACCAGCTCGTAATCCGATGGTGGACAGGGACGCCGTCCACAAGGGGGATGTCGTGGGTGATCAGGGAAGTGCACCCTAAATCCTGATCATTAACGGCAAACACAGAAGAGTACTTTCGAAGTAGTGACCGTACCTCACACTGTTCCTCTGGGGCCAGTGGCAATAGGTCGAGAGCGGCGAATGGATCCATAGCTGGAGCAGCCACACAGTGGGAGGAGACACCCACAGCAACAGGAACCTCAGTCAGTCCTGGAGGTAGGCTCACCACATTGACCTCGTCCAATGGCCCTACAAGGGTACGGGGATATAACAGCACGTCATTGTCATCAACATTAACAATATCAACATACGCTGTACCACGGACAACAGTGGTACACTAAGATACTGTACTTGAAAGGCACTCTGAACCTGGGACTCAAATACCAGGGGTCAGACACAGGAACTTTAGTTGGATTCTCAGACGCTGACTGGTCAGGTGATCAGGATGATCGACACTCTTCAACTGGGAAAATTTTTCTTCCTGCTGGAGGAGCAGTCAGTTGGCTAAGCAAGAATCAAGCAACAATTGCACTTTTAACTGCAGAATCAGAGTATGTCACTTTAAGCCAGGCCATCTGAAGTTTTAATGGAGACAACACCAAAAGGAGCAATTGCATTAGCAAAAAAATAAAAAATAAATTGTTCTTCCAAAAACCATGGAAGAACGAAACACATAGATATTCGTTACCACTATGAATGCGTGCAAAACAGACAAATGCAAGTGAAGTATTTTTCAATAGATGATATCTGAGATTAGACTGTGTGCAGTTTAAAATGTATTTGAGAAATGTTTAAAGCAGTGAGTGCCTACACCGTCATTAAAACAGGCTTGAAATTCTTGAAGTTGGTGGTAAAATGATGGTTTAAGTAATATGGTATCCACAAGTTAAATGCTATTTTTAAAATAAAATAAAAAGTGTTGTAATAGTAAATTTTACAGTGTTTGTTGTAAGCACATTACCGCCCTCTAGTGGCACGGCTGTGTAACACTGAATAAAAACCACCATGTGAAACAACAGTCTGAACAATTCCACTGTCAAAAACAAGTACCCTCTGCCTTTGCTCACGTCAACTATTGATCCTTTACAAGGGACAATCATTTTGTCCTAGCTAGACTTGCGTAATGAATACCATTCACATTTGAGATGTTGACGAGTGGAAAAGTGGAATAGTGCTTCCACGTCTATGGAAAATTTTGAATACTTAATAATGCCCTTCGGTCTTACTGATACCCCGGCAGTTTTTCAGGTTCTGGTGAATGACGTTCTCCGAGCTTTTTCAAGTTTATTTGGACCACATTTTTATATATTCCCAGTCCCCAGCATTATTGGGGTTAATTATTGAAGCCTTATGGTTGACATGGGTGGGGTTCATGTCAAATGTTTGGTGGATACCGGTTCAATGGTGTCTACCTTTACAGAAAGTTTCTTTGAGGAACATTTTGAACCTTGGGGCTCTGACCGCCTTTGCTCCTGCCATTGGTTGCAGTTGCTTGCAGCCAATGGGCTTGAGATCCCTTACATGGGCTATCTGGAGCTTGATGTGGCCCTCTGTGACAAGGAGATTCCCCGCTGCGGAGTACTTGTCGTACGAGATTCCCCTAGCACCGGGCACTCTGCCCCTGGAATTTTAGGTATGAATGTAATTCACCGATGCTATAGGGAGCTTTTCGGCGCCCATGGTGCTTCATTGTTTGATTTGCCTGCAGTTGTGCAGGCCCCGGGCCCAGTCATAAAGGCCCTACAGAGCTGCCACCACGCTGCTGCAGTGCCAGAAACGAATATTGGCACGGTGAATGTCAGAGGGCCTCGAGCTGTTCGTATACCAGGTGGCACTATGAGACTGGTTAGTAGTACGTGCCCTGAACAGTTCGCTGGAAGATCTGCACTGTTTGAGCCCCATCCGACTGGCCTTCCGGGCTGACCTACTAGCCTCGCCTTGCCTGGTTTAGATTGACCATAGCACGGTTTACATCCCGGTGGTCAATGTGGGGACGAGTGATGCACTCCTGTATCCTCAGACCACCCTAGGATCCCTGAGTAAGGCAGAGGTAGTGAGTTTACCTACGTGAGTCACAGAGGTGAATTTTGTTGCAGCCACCGTGTCCTCCCAGGCAGAGGCCGAGTCGATGGAGAGCAAATTAGTGGAGGCGGACCTGTCCGCCCTAAGTGAGGAGGAACAGGCAGGAGTTAGGGCTCTGTTGCAGAAGTACAGGGACGTGTTGGCAGCACATGAGAGTTACCTGGGTGTACCAGCTTGGTTGCCCATGAAATCCCTCTGCTTGATGACGCTCCTGTCCGGCAGCGCTATCGACGTATTCCCCCGTCCAAATATGAGGCTGTTAAGGCATGGAAAGTAATAGTCCTTATGCATCTCCCATCGTCCTGGTCCGAAAGAAGGACAGGAGTCTTCGCCTGTGCATTGACTACCGCCTTCTTAAAAGTAGAAGCAGGAAGGATGCCTTTCCCCTGCCGCGCATCGAGGAGAGCTTAGATGCGCTATCGGGGGCCGGCTGGTTTACAACCATTGATTTGGCCAGTGGATACAGTCAGGTCCCGGTAGCAGAGCAGGACAAGCCTGAGATAGCGTTCTGTACTCCATTTGGTCTCTTTGAATGGAACAGAATGCCGTTCGGCTTGTGCAACGCTCCAGGCACCTTTCAGCGTCTCATGCAGAGGATGTTTGGGGACAAGCAGTGTGAGTCCCTACTGCTGTACCTAGACGACATAGTAGTTTTCTCCACTACAGTTACACAACATCTGGAACGACTGGAGCTGGTCCTGGGTGGCCTTCAGAAGGAGGGCTTGAAGGCAAAACTGGAGAAGTTGGCTATCTTGGTCACATAATCTCCAGCAAGGGTGTTTCCACAGACCCATCAAAAATCGAGGCCGTGGCCAAGTGGAAACGACCAGCCCACCTGTCTGAATTGCGGTTGTTCTTGGGTTTTTCCAGTTACTACCGCCGGTTTGTGGAGGGCTCTGCCCGGTTGGCCGCACCTCTACATAGGTTAGTGGCCTCACTGGCTGGTACAAAGAATAGGAAGGATCTGGACAGCCTTTGGATTCACTATGGACATCCTAGTCTGAGGAGAGCTTTGAAGGCTTAAAAGCATAGCTCATTTCTGCACCTGTGTTGGCCTATGCTGACTTTTCGCTGCCTTTTGCCGCTGTCAGTTGAGGTCTGTGGCCCACTGAGCGCAACATGACTAACTACAGCTCCATGAAGTTGGAGCTGCTTGCACTCAAGTGGGCCATGACCGAGAAGTTCAGGGATTACCTGCTGGGACACAGTGTATGATTTACACGGATAACAACACGCTGAGCTATCTCCAGACCGCAAAGCTTGGAACCCTGGAACACAGGTGGGCGGCACAAATGGCTGTGTTGTATCGCTGCGTTCAACGGCCGGACGGAGGGGAAGAGACCTTTCAGGTCCTCCTCCCTGCAACATTAAGGCAGAAGACACTGCAACAGCTCCATCAAGAGCAGGACCACCAAGGCATTGAGAGGACAACCGAACTTGTCCGTCAAAGAGGCTACTGGCCAGGGATGTCAGCGGACATCAAACAATGGGTACTAGAGTGCGACAGATGTCAATCTGCGAAAAATCCGGCACCCGTTCCCCACAGTTAAATGGGCCATTTGCTGGCGTCATGGCCTAACGAAAATTTGGCTATTGACTTCACCATGTTGGAGCCAACTCGCAACGGTGTTGAAAATGTGTTGGTAATGACCGATGTATTTACAAAGTACATCTTGGGAATCCCAACCAGAGACCAACTGGCCCCAACTGGTGCCAAAGTCCTGACCAACGAATGGTTCTGAAGCTGAACAGCGCAAAGCGAGGCATGACATCCAGGTCAGGGAGGCACCCTTGGAGGTTGGACAGTTGGTGTATCATAGAAATAATGGCGTAAAGGGGCGTCACCCGATGACAACGGGCCAGTCTATACAGTGGCCCCCCTCGACCATTTGCAATTACCCCGACATGTTGAAAGCCCATTTGGGGACTGTTTCCCCGCCAAAACCCCTAAGGACAGAGCCGCCCAACTCCAGATCACCTGACAGCTATTCTTCTGAATTTGGAGACTCATGCTTCTTCTGTTCAGTGCTGGGTGCCACCGAGCCTCAAAATCCAGCTGCTGGTGTAGCCAGGGTCCCTGTCCCCACTGCCAAGGGCACAGCAGTTGCAGATCAGCCAGGAGGGGCATCCGTATCGGGTTTCAGTCAGCCTCGTAACCAAAGACTGCGCCGCACTACACGGACAACCGCTGGGCAGCATTCCAATCGGCATCACCTTCCCCGTACTCTTGGTGGTACCTCTCAAGGGTTGGTGAATGTGCAAGGGGCAGTCTTTCGACCATGGTGTTAGCCTTTAGCAGGAACTTTTGGCTAATTGGTCGTCGGGGCGACGACACTTTAAAGGGGGGGAGAATGTGGCATGTCGGTGTGCACGGCACTGACAGGTGATTGGCTTGGGGTTGTAGAGCCCATTAAAAGCAGGTGTTTGTTCGGCACGCGCGCATGAGTCTCGGCCTGGGTGCGGTGGTTGCATGTTTGGTGACTGGCAGCTTGCTCGGGTTGGAGCCCGTTGGAGCACGTGGGAGCAACGCTTCGGCTTTTGCCGTGAGTTTTGGGTACTCCACAATTGAGGTAAGTCGCTCATTGTCCAGCCTGTCATTCTTGGCTCTCTAAGCCAAAGCTGAGCGTAAAACTGTTTGCCCCAGTCGATGAGCTGCAGCTGGGACAAGTCTGGAATCTATATCGGCTCTCCCCCTTCTCCCGCTGGCCGTGAGTGCGTGCCTTTCACTGGCAGCTAAGCTCCAAAACTATAGTTCAGTGACTAATTACAGTGTTAAGATTCGTGCCTTGTCTTCAGGCTCTGCTCCACGTGTGGTCCAAACCAGGGCTGCCACTCCGGAAAGGAGCCACTGTTCTGTCCACCTGCATGGTCCACCTCTGTCTTGCATAGGAAACGCTAGAGCGCACTCACGTGTGTGGCCTCCTGGCTCCAAACACGTGCATGGACACACATGTACTTTCATTAACCTTTCTTTTTGTTTATTTAGGTTTATTCTGAGTTGTTTGGTGAGTTTATCCTATTTTGTGTCCATTTATTTTAGCTTTTGCATGCTTTTTGTTTGGCTATTTTTGTTTGCTTTATTTGCATGGCTTGCTGTTTGTGTTTCCTTTGATTGCATGATTTGTTTCTCATATATTACGATTTCTTTTTTTGTTTGTCCTTGTGTCCTGATTTGCCACCCTTTTTAAAATAACTTTTAACCATTCTTCTCTTACAGGCCTAATTGTTGTATTTAAAGTATTGTTAAAATAAACTTGTGAATCTCTTTTGTAATTAGTCTCACATCTCCTATGTCCACAACTTGTGTGGCCTTATTTTACAAAGTATTCGGTTGGTCCCTAGACCATCTGGCGTTGCTGGAACTGGTAAAAACTTCCATTCTCTACACCCTTACGTCACATCTGTAATACAATAAGTACATTTCGCATGTAAATCAATAATTGTTTTATTATTAGGTTGTCATATATTCTGCCAGTGCGCTGAACGTGTCACTTTTGACTGGCTTTCTGATTGGCTGAAATCAGTCCCTGTGGCAGAACCTACGTACAAATAAAATACTCGCTCCCTGCGCGTGGCTCTCATTCACAAGCGAGTGTTTTAGATAATGTCTCAACGCGCCATCCGACAGACAGAGAGGCGGTCAGAGACATCTGTGTGCGAGAGGACGCTGGTGCATGTTGGATGCCGCTTCTCCACACAGGAAAACACTTGTTTGAACAGATTTTAAATCTTTTTACCTTGCGGTGGTTCTGCACGGATCTTTCTCCATCTGACGGTACTGACAACAGTGTCAACACAGCTAACTCTCGTGGGTTGCTGATACGGCCAGGCCTCGCTGTATACTGCTCCAAGCAGCGGCCTGCAACCAGGTCACCGGCCCCTAAGCACTCCGGAGCAGTCTGTCAGTAATGCTGCCGCTCCTAGCTGCCCGTCTACTGACCATACTGTCACTTTCACCTCACGCCACTATCCACCATCCAGCAATGGCACTCCGGTAAATGTCCACGCAGCTCCTCAGACTCAACCACCGCGCTCCTCAGACATACACATTTCCATTAAAGAGCTTCCAACGTCCCCCGTACATCCATCGTGGCTCACGCCGTAGAATTATTTGCTTTTTCTGCATGAATTTATGCTGGACAATAACTTGAATTTACTCTGTCTCACTGAAACCCAGCATAAACCATCCTGCATTGCACTCAATCAAACAACACCATCCGACTTCCTCTGTCTGGATAATAATAATAATAATACATTTTATTTAAAAGCGCCTTTCAAAACACCCAAGGACACTGTACAGGGCATAATAAAAACATTAAAAACAGAAGCAACAGAATAAAGCAACTGTGCATTATGGGATGGTGGGTGCGTGTGTGTTAGGTGGGGTAGGACAGTCTGAACAGATGGGTTTTGAGTCTGGATTTGAAGAGTGGAAGAGATTCAATGGTGCGGAGGTCAGGGGGGAGAGAGACAACCTTTCAGCTCTAATCACGGATGGTAAATGATTTTCTTTGTAAAACTCAAATCATACAAGTGTAGCAGAGAGAACTCATTGGTTGAAGTTGAATCGACTTAACATATATAGTGTTGCATGTGATGCACTAGAATTAATACATATAACTTGGTCCAATCTATTTTAAGTTTATTCTAAAATATAGTTTGAGTACAAATGTGTATAAGAGAATGAGTTTTGAGATCACTACCACAACCTTTAAGTTGAAAGCACTTTCACTATGTCAGGGATGAAGCAGACAGAGACGGATCGTGGTGCGCCAAACTCTGGAAGTTTATTTAAGTTTCTCTCAAGTTCCAGTGGTTTACTCTGTTTCTTTCTCTCAGACAGAATAAAGGCAGTACACAGTTTATATAGTCATTGTCACGTCACACATCGAAAGACGTACGTGTCACAAAGAGACAGTCACATCATAGTCATAACATGGAGTCCTTGTAGAGTCCTTGTACAGTCCTGCACGTAGGCCATATTGCTATCTAATACTAACAACTATCTTTAAGTTTTCATAGCTCCTCCCATATTTGTCCCGGCAGTGGAAGCAAGGACATGTCTGGACAGAGTCGTTGGTTTGAATTTTTCAAGTATAAGCAGTTTATTCACGTTTTCCTTGGACTTGAACGTGTTTTTCCTGCCTATAGTCGATAGAGCACACTCTTCCTCAAGTCAAAGGTGAGTTAAATCTTGCACAAGCTGAACATTGTTGAGTCTATTGCTTTTCTCAATTTTTAGACAAGGTCATTTTCTTGCACTTTTTATTATTTACGGTACACATAGCCAGTTTGTCACTGAAGCTTGCACACGTGTTACACCGGACTCCAGCGACATAGCGACCAGCTCCCGTGCTTTTCCCATGGCAGAGAGGGGACCAGCAGGAGCAGCGGGGGGACCAGCAGGAGCCATAGCTGAGGCAGCCTGTGCACACGCAGCATTTGCAGAAAAAGAGAAAAGTATTAAAGTTGAAAAAGCCAACCTTGATGCTATAAAATATGAAAGAGAGGCTGCAGCTGCTAACGCCCAGGCCGATATATTGGAGGCAGCAGCCGAGCTTGAGGACGTGGAATCTCAAAGCAGAAGAAGTCCCCCTGTAACTGTCCAAAACATACAGGAACGAGTGAGCGCTTATGTCAGAGAGCAAAATTCTAACACAAATACGTTCCCTGAACCCATTCATCGAGCAGAGCCATCAGAGGGTTCTATTGAGCCTCGTGATGCTCCCACACCGCATGTGTTCAGAGAAAAATAATACATTCTGATAGACTCCCACAAATTCACCCGCTCCACCACAAATTCACCAGAGATCAATTCTTCCCCATACAAATCAAATGGAACGTACCTCTACTCCGCTTGTGCAGCCAAACACTGCATCACAAATCAAAGGAGAATCAGATCATCTCAATGTTAAAGCAAAGATATTTTCCCCAAAGTATGCTGACACGTCTCACAGTCAAAGTCTTCCAGAAACTTCAGTTATGATGGACATGGCAAAGTATCTGGCACGCAAAGAGCTCATAAGCACTGGACTAAAACACTTTGATGACTGTCCAGAAACGTATAGAGCATGGAAGTCCTCTTTCTCCAACACAATAAGAGACGGCCAGTGAACATTTGGATTTGCTCTCAAAGTGGCTCGGTAAAGAATCTGTCGATCACGTCAGGCGTCTAAGGGCGGTTAATATTAGCAATCCAGAAGCCGCACTGAAAGCAGCATGGAACCATCTACATCTCGCCTCAAATTGCATTAAAGTGACATGTCTGTGTCTTAATTCGATCGTATTTACTCTTTTAAAAAGATTCGCGGACTTTACGTCCGCCATCTTGGATTCCTCTCGCTGCTGCATGAGAGAAGCGTGAGGAGGCAGTGCAAACCCCACGTAACACCGGCAATCCTGATTGGTCGATTAAAAAATAATCTGGGGAAGGCGTTCAGCATGGGCTCGATACCAGACCCATGTGGTTCAGCCAAACGCCTCTGGTGGAGCATGGCGGAACTACAAGGGTCTGGCAGAGCCAGGCTATCACCTCTGTGCATTCCTTTTGTTTCCTGGGGACAACCATCACCCAGGACCTCAGGTGGTATACGACCACCAGCTATCGCTGTCCCACCTGGAGAAGCCCGTCTCCTCTGTGAGGATCCTGTTATTTGATTCGATTGGATCCTAGACTGCCTCACAGATAGACCTTAATTTGTGAGAACCAAGGACTCCATGTCTGAGGTCCTGATGTGCAGTGTGGGGGCACCCCAGGGGACTGTCCTTACGCCTCACCCTGACACTGCAGAGTTCAAGATACGGATGTAAATCGGTGACCGTTTAACCGGTGGTTGACCGTCACAGCGTTAACCGGTCAAAGCTGTCGGTTTAAAAAAAGAAAAGGGGGAGGAGGAGGTTTCTTAAGAACGCTATTTTAAGCCTATTTGCACGGTGTGGCGAGCGAGTCTGTCTCTAGCTGTGTGCGCCAATGTATCAGTAAACTCCGGGCCGACTTTCATGCTGCACGCGCCACATGCACGCACACATGCGCACGCAGCTTGGAGCTTACATTTACACACACATGCATACATATGCACACACACATACCGGTCTGTCACGCTCCTCTGTGTCACGCAGCCCAAAGAATCCAAATACGCGGCTCCAGTCAAATCACATGGAACATGTTTGTGCTGCTGGTCCTTGGCATTAGATCAACTCCACACACATCACTTTTAAACTTTAGCGGAGACCTGCGAGATGCGGCTCGTCACTCGCTGCTCTGACCATGTGGATGAGCCGTTGTTTGCTGCTAAAAAGTGTTAACCCGCAGCACAGAAGTATGGAAAGATTAAAAAAGCAGTTCTCTGTGCGAAAAGGTGCCGAAGCTGTTGCGGGTTTTGGCGCCGCTGTCTTGGCTCTGATCCAGTAGAACGCATAGCTGCACTTATGAGAAGTACGCGGCTCAAAATGGCTGTTATTTCAAAGAACGTGGAATATTTTTAACAACGTGGTTAACCGGTTTCAACCGGTTAATGAGGCTCGGTGGTCGGTCATGAAAATTCATAGTTTTTTTACATCCCTACTTCAAGAACAACACAGACGTTGTCTCCCACAGAAGTTCTCTGACAACTTTGCCATCATTGCACTCATCACTGAGGATGACAATGAACAGAATAAGGACGAACATATGGGTATATGGACTGGTGTCAGCGGAACTACCTCCTCATCAATGCTGTGAAGACCAAGGAAGGGAAC